TGACACTCAGCGTGGCTGAGGTCTTCTCCTGCCCACACAGGCATGAGTACTCCCCAGCATCTTCCACAGCCAGGCCACGGATCTGCAGCTCACACACAGCCTGGTTCTGTCTCAGACTATATCTGTCTCCATCTCTGAGGATCTCTGTTCCCTTCCTCCATTCCACTGGGGTTTCTTTGCTCAGCTGGCACCTCAGAGTCACCATGCTCCCTTCTGTGGCCTCTTCATTCTTCAGACCCTCTGTGAACTTGGTGGGTCGTGCTAGGGAGGTCAGAAAGACACAGGCCCAGTCATTCCATCAGAGCAAGTGGAAGGCGGGGCACGGATCACACAGAGAAGACACAGGACTCGACCAAAGGGCACATGCAAATGTGTTGAGAATCTGGTGTGGCATTTCTCAGGCTAGACTGTGCACAGCTCCGCCTTGCCCAATCTGCAGCTTCCTCGGACCTTATATTTCATAGGGACCTGGCATGCAGAGTTAAACATCGTCAGGAGAACCTCAGATTTCCTAGAGAACTTTGGGGTTTGGGACATGACAGTGAGGACAAAGGACACAGGCTCCAGCAACATAAACCCCACACAGCACAAGGCTGTGGGGACGTGGCTGCGAGGCTCTTGTCTTCTGGGTAATACAACCCAGGAAGCAGGACCGGATCCCACGCAGTGGCGGACAGATGGCGTTCATACTTGGGCAACCACCACACAGATTAGCCAGCTGTGGTCTTTACCCTTGACGGTCAGCATGGCTGTGGTCTTCTCCTCCCCACACTCGCATGAGTACTCTGCAGCATCTGCCATGGCCAGGTCACGGATCTGCAGCTCACACATGGTTCCCTTTTGCTGCAGCTTGTATCTGTCTCCATCTCTGAGGGTCTCCCTTCCCTTCTTCCATGCCACGGAGGCCTCTTTGCTGAGCTGACATTGCAGAGTGGCCGTGCACCCTTCCATGACCTCCTGGGACTTCAGCTCTTCAATGAACCGTGTGGGCAGGGCTAGGAAGGATCAGGTGGACAGAAGCCATCAAACTCTATGAAGGCTTCGGAGGTCATTATCTGAGTATCCAGGAAGGAAACAGAAGCAGAAGGGCTGGAGAGCACAGGAAGAGGCAGATCAAAGTGTGTGGGCTGAGGTTCCCATGCTGTGCCCACTGAGATGCAGGTTGATTGGAAGGTGGGTACCATCCAAGCCTCATCTTCTCAAGGGCACCTTGTTCTTCCTGTGATCTCCCAACCAATCGTGCATGCAAACACATTTCTTGACTGACCTCTGTGACAGGCATCTCCCAACTGTGATGCCTTCCAGCCTCATAGACTGGACGCCCATTCACACAGGGCCTCATCCTGCACTGTCCATGCTTGGACTCACCCTCACAGCTTATGTAAGGCCCTGTCTCCTCCACACCCCACTCCTGTCCTGACACCACTAGATCCACACCCCACCCTTTGGTGTCACCCCCCTAGCTTGTGACTCCTGGTCCCCGAGAGACTGCAGCTGGGGACTCCTAGGCATGCCTTTGATCCATCCTGCTGTCCTCCCTGCTGATCATAGCTCACCGTGGTTATACTCGTCATTGGCTGTGCCCCTCCAAATGTATACTAAATTTCTAACTGATACAACTTCAGAAAACAAGTATATTTGGAGATTGGCCTTTGAAGAGGTGGAAAATGCTAAATGGGGTCTTGCAGGTAAGTGCTTAACCCAGTAGAGATCACGTCCTTAGAAGACATCTGGATACAGACAAGATGACCATGTGAAGACCTGGGGAAGAAGACAGCCGCCTGGGAGCCAGTGAGAGGCCTTGGACAGAGCCAACCCTGCTGACAATCTGATTGAACACAGGCCTCCAGCCTTCTGAGCAGGGAGGAAATTAACCTCTGTTTTAAAAGTCCTGATTAACTGTTCTTTGTGATGGTCACCCAAACAACACAAATTTGAGGATATATTGTAAGAAATACCTAAGAATCTGGAGCTGTCTGGTAACAGGTAATGACTAGTGGCTGGGTGACTTTTGAGATATATATCAGAGAAAATCAAGATGGCTGGGAATGGTCTGTTAGTGGAAATAGGGATATTAATGCCACATCTGATCAGGCCTCAGACAGAAATGGGGGATAAAACTAGAAAGAAGGAAGGTGATCTTTTTGACAGCATCAATGAGCTTGGTCAAATTCTGTTGTAGTGCCTTGTGGAATGCAGAATTTGTGAACAGTGAAATTGGACATCTAGATAAGGAGGTATATAGGCAAAGTATTGAAGGCATAGTCTGGATTCTTCTTTCTGCTTATAGTAAGAGTGAGAGAATAGAAAGATAAATAAGAACTACTAAGTGAAATGGGAAGGGAATTGAAGATTTAGAGAATTTACAGCCTACCCATGCTGCCAAAAAATAATGAGAATGTTCTGAAGAGAACTTCAGGATGTAGTCAATCCTGTCATCTCTGCAGAAGCCACAGCTAGAGAGGAAAGGCCGTGGAGGACTCTTGTGACTTCACAGTAAAGTAAGGACATTGAGAATGTCCCACCAGGTGAAATACCACTTAGTCTAGAAGGGACAGAGACCCGAGGGAAGAAGGATGGTGGTCAAACCTGATGAGATAATAGAGCCAACCAGCTGCCACTTGTGTGGCCTTTCAAGTCAATGACCACGGTTAGGTGGGGTCGCTTGTGTCTGTAACCTCAGCACTTTCGAAGCTGAGGCAGGAGATGCCCCACAAGTTCCATGCCAGACTGCTCTACACTGATTGTTCCAGGCTAGCCAGGGCTACATAGCAAGACCCTGTCTCAAAAAGCAAACAAGTTTAAAAAAGAGAGTGATTGTCAGAGTGGATCAAAGTCAATAGGGTTGCCACAGCCACCAGGGGCCCCAAGTCTATCAGCTGGGGAGAAGGCACTCTCCTCCTCGACCCTAAGCCATTTCCACTCAGGGCTCTGAGGGCCAGTCTAGAGGACAGGGGGGTTGAACCAGAGAGAATTCTCCTGCCTTGAAATCTAGTAGAGTCACCGTGCTGTTTCAGATTGGTGGGACTCATATCCCAGCCCTTCATTCCAATTCCCTCCTCCTTTGGTAAGAACATCTATCATATGCCTGTCCCACCATTGTTCCAGAGCAGTGGTTCTCAACCTTCCTAATGCTGCGACCCTTTAATCCAGTTCCTCAGGTTGTGGCGACCCCAACCATAAAATTATTTTCGTTGCTACTTCATAACTGTAATTTTCCTACTGTTATGAATCATAGTGTAAATATCTGATCTGTAGGATAGCCTATGGGTGACCCCTGTGAAAGTGTCACAACCGCCAGGTTGAGAACCGCCACCCTAGAAGCATGGTTCTACCTGGTTCTGTAGCTTCATAGGTAGGAGGTAAATGTTCCTCAGTGTGAATGAAATCGAAAACTTCACACGTAGAAGAGACACTTAGACAACGGGCTGTGTGGACTGGAAGGATGCATTTTTACATGCAAAAAGAATATAGATTTGAGGAGGCCAGGAGGTAGAATGTCACAGGCTCTGGTGGTTTAAATGATATGTCCCCTGTAGTCTCAGACAGGTGAAGACAGACATCTTCAGGGAAAACACTAACAGAACCAAAATCACTGCCAGACCTCAGTGGAGGAATTCCAGCCCCCAGAATTGTGAGCAGACTAGAACAGGAACCCTTCAGATCCTGGCATCATCTCAAAGGAACAGTTCAACGCTCTCACTGAGTTCAGCAGTGTGTGCCTGGCTTCTCCAGCCAGGGTCTGACATTGCTGTGCATGTCCGTCAAGGAACAGACATCCGTCAACTCTGTGCCTGGAACCAACGGACCCAAAATCTCTGCAGGCCTTAGCAAGATGCAAGTGGCCCCAGCAGATCTTCCACTGGACACTGATGAAATATGCAGGCACCACCCTTAAAGCTGCACGCTATTTTTCTCTGGGTCTGTGTCTTAGAACAGGTTCTAGATTGGACTAACCCAGTGTGGTTGGGGGGAGGGGATGAATCACACAGATATATGTCTGTGCACGACATGATGCCATTGAGAGGCACAGGAAGAGCACAGCTTACATGGAGGAGACAAGAGAAAGCAGATCAATCAGGTGGCTACACAAAGACATTACCATCTATACTCAGCGTGGCTGAGGTCTTCTCCTGCCCACACACGCATGAGTACTCTCCAGCATCTTCCATGGTCAGTCCACGGATCTGCAGCTCACACGTAGCCCCATCGTGCCTCAGGCTGTATCTGCCCCCATCTCTCAGGCTCTCAGACCCCTTCCTCCACTCCACAGGGGCAGCCTTGCTCAGCTGGCACCTCAGTGTGACCATGGTGCCTTCGGTGGCCTCTTGGCTTCTCAAGTCTTCTATGAATCTGGTGGGCAGGGCTGGGAAGGACCAAGTGCTCACTGAGAACATGAAATTGGAGAACACTACACACAGGACGCACAACTCACAAAGAACGACACACTAGCAGAGGAATACAATATAAACATGTGATGGAAGGCACAGGTGGTAAGGAAGGCAAACTCGTGGGGAACAGAGAGGGCAGTGGCATGGATGTGAACACAAGAACATCTGGGCATGTGGAAGAACAGGTGGAGACGCCAGGATGAGTGAAGGCACAGAATAGATGGTCACAGGCTCACTACAGGAAACCACATGTGGAGACAGAAGTGTCCATGAGACAACATGGAGACACCAAGGCTGAGGTTAAGATCACACACGATCTTTACCCTTGACACTCAGTGTGGCTGAGGTCTTCTCCTGCCCACACACGCATGAGTACGCCCCAGCATCTTCCACAGCCA